GGCTTTGGTAGAGTAAATCAAAACGTGCCAAGAAAGCTGTGAGGGGTGAGGCGCTGGTCATCAGCAGGCTGTGAGGAGCAGGGGCGCAGAGGGGGAGCACTAAGGAGGGAGCCTGCGGGCAGCATTAGGGACAATCGTGTATGAGGTTTCTGGCTTTGTGGCTCTCAGATGCCAAAGGATCTGGGGACCTAAACGGGCTACAAACCATCACCCGACGGACCAGGGGGGCAGTTCACTGCCAAGTCCAGGAATTGTTCGTTGTCCAGTGCTGGGAGGACCCTGGAGTCTGGCTGCCCCAGACCCGGGGTTTGTCCTCCTACATGGCCAATCCCACCTGCTCCTCAACCCTTCAACTCCCCCCTCATCTGTTTTATTTTCTGTAGGTCTCACTGGACCCCAAGGACCTCAGGGTGAGTCACTAGGTGTCTCGCACCTCCAAACAGCACCCGCCAAGCCTCCCATTCCAGCCTTCCAGCCTTCAGCAAATACCTCTCCTCCAGTCACCTTAGAGTTTCCTCTCACTCTCCCAGCAAAAATGGGTTCAGGTCCTTTTACTGTGAGTGTTGAGAAGCACCTTAGGAAGGAAAATATGTGCAGAACAATCCAGAAAGCCATTCTAGTAGAAATGAAGTTGATCATGTGCCAATTCTGTCTGCCTGTGCCCCTTTGGTGCAGGAACGCCCGAAAGCTGAGCGCGCAGGGGCACGCTTCAGTTGCTCCCAGGTGGAGTCCAGCAGACAAAAGCAAGGAGGGGTGTGGCATCAGAGCTAGGAAGCCCAGCCCCCCCCCACCCCCCACCCCCCCTGCTCTGCAGGGAAGAGGAGGAGACAGTGGCTGCTTTGCAGGCTGCTGGGGGCTCATAACCCAGAGGGACTGGGATCCCCCAAAGCTGAGTCCATGGGCCTCTGCCTCCCTTAAGCCCGGCTGTTGCCCCATTTCCCAGAGAAGGAAAAGGGCTCAGAGCAAGAGTCCCCACCCCCGCCCCTCAGGGGTCACCTGACCTAGAGCAGAAGGCAAAGCCAGATAGGTCTCCAGGTTTCAGTCAGCAACTGTGGCTGTGCTAAGTGGGGATGCCCAGTTACTACCAGAGGCTGCCTGGAATTGCTGGGCCTTAATCATCCTGACTGACTGCTTTTCAATCACATCAGGACTTCCTGGCACCCCTGGCCGCCCAGGGCCTAAAGGTAAGTGACTTTCCAAATTAGATAGTCTTTCTTTTCACTAGTCATTTTTGAGGTGGGAGGTGAGGAGGGGGGAACTGGCTGGAGGGAAGCCCCTCTCTGGCCAGAGCCTGGATCAACAGTGGCATCTAGTGGCTTCAGGGGAAGGCTGTCAGGCTGGGGAGCCAGAGACTTACTCTGATCACCTAAGCCCCAAATGCTCAAGCCGCAGCCCGCTCCCCATAGTCGTGAGCCTCACCATGGCACCTGGACATCTCCAGGCCATCGTGGAGGATCTGGGAGGGTGCTGCCCCACCCCCGCAAGCCAGTCGGTCCCCTAGTGCTCTCTCTCCCTCGCTTAGGCTTGGTCCCCTATCGTGTGACTCTGCCCTTAGGCGTATCATTCACACAGGGAGCTTTAGTGCAGGCTGGGAGGAGCATCTATAATGCTGCTAAGATGGGAAGTCATCCCTGGGGTGTGACTGGGGCCAACGTGGTGACTCCTCCACGCAGGGTGACACTTTTGTCCAGCTCTGCACCCTTAGACCCCAACCCTGAGCTAATCCAGGGATCAGTGGTGCTCAGAGACAGCACTCTTCCTCCTTCTGTCCCTGTGACCCCACATCCCTGAACCCCGACATCCTTGGGAGCTGTGCTCTGTCATGAGCAGTCACTGTCACCTTGGGGACCTGAGGAGTAAAATAAGTACTTTCCAGAAACCATTTCCAATGACTGGTTGGGCCAAGGAGTTCTTTTAGCACAAATGTAATTCAAAATAACAGCTGAGCTCACACATCCCAGACAGACGGATCTCTGGGCCCACAGATCTGTTCATGGATTGCTGGTACCTTTAGTAAGTCACGTGTAGGTTTGGCGGTTCCACCCTGTCCTTCTTAGGGCCTGCGACTTCCTGCTCATGGGGAACTTCAGACCCTCTCTCGACAATGTGCACAAAAGGTGGACATTTTACCTAATACCGGTAAAATGACGCCCAGGGGCTGGCAGGTGGCAAGCAGTGACCACCGTCCACCTCCCCTGAGGGAAATCCATATCATCCTCATGTGCGGGTGACTGAATTGCTCACAGACCAGGGGAAATGACAGAGGCCCTGAAAGTCCCCACCACTCACTTGGTTTCTCAGAATCTTTTGAGATTCTGCATTTCCAGTCTCAAGAGATGCCTCAGTGAGATGGTGTGGGGAAGGACGAATCCTGCATCCCCATCCTGGGAATTTCCCCGTCACATGTGGGACTCTCTAAGACACAGGTAGAAATGAGACCTGTTAACCTTTTAGGTAACTCAGGATTTCCCAGCTTACGGCCACAGAACCCCCTTGTCATTCTGCACAGCTCCGCCTACTGTCCCAGGGAACTAGCGTCCAGAGGGGCACCCTGGAACCAGGCTCTACCTGGAGGCTCACGCCTCCATCCTTTGACTGCTCAGTACTTTTCCCGCCCAAGGCCGTTCCCAGGAAGAGCCTAAGACGCCTCCTGTAGGGGAAGAGAGAATGTGGAGTGGGAATGACTCTTGAGTCAGCCTCATTCCAGCCTCACTGAAGGGCAAACTCTCTGACATCCACCAGTGAAGTCCCTTCGTGGAGTCCCACATCTTCCAAAAGCTAATGTGGATCAAGAAGATCGATGCTCTGGCCTCCAGGGTCTGCGGTGCTGAGACTGGCACTTAATGCATCCTGCATGTTCCCCTTAGTTCATTAAAATGCCGTTAGCCTGCAGGTTATGGGCCCAGGGGTGGGTCTCAAATGCAATCAGAGGCCTGGGAAACGATTTATTGGGCAACTAATTGATCCTGGGAAAAACTGCTCTCCTTTTCCTCCCCTCCCAGGTGAACCGGGAGCTCCAGGCAGGATCATGACTGCAGGTAGGCATGCCCTGTGCTGTGTGTTCTCATCTACCGGCATCAGCCCGGGCTCTGCCCAAACACCCTCCAAGAAGCACCAGTCTGCATGGTGCTTTGTGCAGGATGCAGCGCTGGGCTCTTCAGGCCAGCAGCGAGGTGGGGGCGGGGTGGGGAGGGGAGTTTAGAGGTAATGAGAGTAAGAGGCGCTGGCCTGACGGGACCCACAGCCTGGCCTGGGTCCCGGCACCTCTGAGCCAGAAGAGGCTCAGTGTTCCATGTGTCTTCTGTTTTCAGAGGGGTCATCGACTCTCACTGTCCCAGGCCCCCCGGGACCTCCTGGAGCCATGGGACCCCCGGGACCTCCAGGTGCCCCAGGTCAGTTCGTTCTCTTGCTTTGCCCCAAAGCAGTAGGAACTGGGAGAGGAGAGTAACGGGGTTTCTGAGAAAGGCCCCTTCCAGACAGCCTAGCAAGCCCTCATCACACAGCAGCAAGTATCACAGGCACTGCCCAGGCCTGCTTCGCCAGCCCCCACAGCACCACTGGAGGCTCGAGCTGGTAAATGACTTGCTCAGGGTCACTCAGCGGAGAGGCAGCAGAGTCAGGATCTGGCCCAGGTTCTTCTGCCTGCAGAGCCAGTGTTTGATCCGTCAGAGCACCTGGTCTTCAAATTGTTTCCTCTTAGAAAACAATTTAATAAGATGCATTAGGGCAACAAAAGTCCTAGGACTGTATTTGAAGAAAATATCCCCAAATTGTACAGCAATAATGAAATCATTACAAAAATATGAAGACTTAAAGTTGTTAGGAGACAATGGTGTTATTTAAGACTTATTTGATGCTGTGCACTCTATGTTTGCAACAATATTTTTACAAGTTGCAAAAAAAAGTCTGGAAGGAAATAAAACAAAACACCTACAAGTTAAAAAATTATGGGTAATACTTTTTTCTATTTTTCCAAAATGTCCATTATTTTGTTACACAATTGACCCTTAAACAACACGGGTTTGAACTATGCGGGTTCACTTACATGCAAATTTTTTCCAATCAATATATTAGGAAAAGTTTTGGAGATTTTGACAACTTGAAAACACAAACGAAGCTTATGATTTTCTTTTCTCTAGCTTACTTTACTGTAAGAATACAGTATATAATACATATAACACAAAATAAATCTATTGTTGTTACTGGTAGGCTTTCCAGTCAATAGTAGGCTACTACTAGTGAAGTTTTTGGGGAGTCAAAGGTTATATGCAAATTTTCAACTGTGTGGGGGTGGGGAGAGTCGGTGCCCTTAACCCCCATGTTGTACAAGGGTCTACTGTACCTATTTTTTAATTATTTAAAAATGTGTACGTGTAAATGAAAAAAGTGACTTACTATATAACCAATGCAAATATGGACCAGCCTGCTCTCCTGATAAGCTCCAGTGAGAGAGGGGACATGGGCACTTAGAAGTCCCCCATCATTAAAGGACAGTCAGAGAGGGCAGTCCTGCTCATCCCAGGGTCCTGGCAGAGGAATTCTCACGTGGATGGACCACCAATTGCTTACTGCTCTCCAATAAGCAAGCTGAGCTCTGGGGGCCACTGTCCCACGCCTCGGAGGAAAGTTACATGTATACCCAGGACCTGCCTTTCTTTAGCTCTTCCTGTGACACTAGAGGTGTGACAAAGTCTGTTCTTCCCCAACCCCGTTTCCAGGCCCTGCTGGCCCAGCTGGTCTCCCAGGACAGCAAGGTATGTCACCCTGAAGGAACACGTGACTGTGGGCTCAGTTGGGAGGGTTTCCTTCCCAGACTGGACTTAGGCCCCGGCTTTTAAGTGAAGCAAGAGACCTGCATTTGGGGAAGGGAGGTGAAGGGGCGACACCGTTCTTCACCAAGGGTCTTGCAAGGCCTCAGCTGCAAAGGGAGACACCTCCTCTCACCCCCTTCTATGTTTCTGAGAAGGTAGGGGTCCTTCGGAAAGGAGATTGAAGCTCGGTGGCCCCCTGGTCAGTGTCAAGCTCAGCTATTTCCATAGGCCTTAGACCTCTTGTAACCAGACCCTGACAGTCGTGCCACTGTCCAGAGATTTATCCAGATACCAACACACAGTCAGGCGTAGGAAAAGCTGATCTCGTTCCTCCTGGGGTGTTTCTTGGCTGACAGTAAAGTTGGAAGCCAACTCTCTGGCCGCCTTGCCCCAGGCTCTTCTGAAAGCGCTCACTGATTTCTGCGGCAGTGCCCACCCTCACTCTGTGTCCCCCGAACAGGCCCGCGAGGGGAGCAAGGACTTGCTGGTGAATCATTCCTTAGCAGCAGCAGCGGCTCCATCTCTGAGCTCCTCTCTGCCCGTGAGTGCCCCTATGTTCTCCAGGGCAGGTGGCATGGGGGCGGGAGTGGGAGAGACATCGTGCACTGGGGCCTGTGGCAGCTGTACCAGTGAGTCATCAGGACCCCCAGATGTGGGTGAGGATGACCAGTTCCTCGGGAATGCAATGGTAGCCAGAAGGAACAGCAGGGGTTTTGTCAGCGTGCAGGCTGAGTCACTGGGGATGGAGCAGCTGTCAGAGGTTCTCAGGACTCCAGGAGGACCAGGGTCATGTGCAGCCGAGTGAGCCAGACACTGTGTGTCACTGGCAGGAGTACTGCATCCCCCGCTCACTGCGAGCAATGACAAGGGTCTGTGAGTTCTCAGCCACAGGCCTGGCCTGGGAGTGCTGACTCCTGGGTCTTCCTGTTCCCAAAGTCCTTTAAAGAGCCCAAGTGGAGATGCCGCTGGGCCTCCACCTGGGCACCTGAGCATCTGAACACCTGAACAGGCCCTGCAGCCGTGTGTCAGACACTGTGCCATGGCATCTCTGAGTCTTCACAAGGCCCCTGTGACACAGGCCACAGGCCTCTGGTTTGCAGAGGAGGAAGCTGTGGCTGAAAGAGGTCGAGAACTTGCCCAAAGTCACCAGCTAGAAGTGGTGGAGCAGGGATTTGAACTCAGGTTATCTGACACTGAAGCCATCTTCCCCCTCACTTGATACACCCAGATTAGCTGTCAGAGAGCTCAGCCCTGCCCTGTCCTGACTCTGAGCAAGGGCGCCCTGAGCAGAGCGGGTGCTGGAGGGTCTGGTGTGTGGGGTGTGAGGATAGCCTGGGGTGCCTGGCACTGGTGATTCTGGTGAGGGGTGAAGCAGGCGGAGAGCAGCCCTGTGTCAGCTTCTGCTCATTTCTGTTTCTTCTCTCTACAGAGGGTCTTGATTTACGAGGTCCCCCAGGCCCACCTGGGCCACCTGGGCCACCAGGTGAGCATCTCAGGAGTTTTGAGGGGGAGGGGACTCAAGGCACTTAGTGCGGAAGCCAAGACCCTGCTCTCAGGGGCAGGGGCGGCTCCCTGAGCTCAGCACTGCCTCTCCTCTCTCTTCTGCAGGACCGTCCATTGCAGGCTCGACAGGTGAGAGATGAGCTTCCTGGTGGGAGGTGGGAGACAATGGGACTCAGAGCCCAGGCTTCTTCTGGGCTGGCTCTTAGGCAAGAGCTTCCTTACCACCTTGCCTGGGAAGAGGGTTCCTGGTCCACCTCTTGGTATTAATAAGGCTTGGGGGTTCTCTTATCTAGGGGAAGGCCTGCCAGGTCCACCGGACCCTCCCCTCCCCCACTCCCCGCCCCCCATGATCTTTCCTGACCAACTCAGATAATGTTGTGGAGTCAAGTCACACTTGTTCTCCATCTCAGCCCCAGCCCCAGTGCATCCTGTGGTCACAGGCATTTGGTCTTCCTAACCCACTCCCCATGCTTCCTCTGGACTTTCCGCTGGGGATGTGTTCGCATAAACTCCATGCCACCTGCTGCATGTAGAGCGTGTAAATGATGCCAAACCAGCCATCCTGACAGCCCCTAGTCTGAAGGAGGGAACCAGTTCTGCCCCTGCAGAGATCTGGACTGACTGGGAAAACCTGATTCCTGTCCTTGGGGAGCATAGATCTGATAAAGTACACATGCATGTGACTTGAGATAAATGCAGACAGTCCAATATAGAAACATACAGAAGTAACTTTAGAGGAAACATGAGCTTAGGACTTCTCCCTACTGGAAAATCAATCCATCCATCCATCCATCCGTCCATCCATCCGTCCATCTGTCCATCCGTCCATCTGTCCGTCCATCTATCCATCTATCCAGCCAGCCAGCCATTTGACAAATACTCATTGAGTACCTACGGTATGGCAGACAATGAGTGAGGTGCTGCTCCCTCACAAACATCACTGTTCCACACTCAAAACTGTTTCTTTCCTCTGCAGATACCTTCTACTCTGGCCCTAGAGGCCCACCTGGCCTCCCAGGCCCCAAAGGAGACCGAGGTGAGAGCAGTGTCTTAGTGAGTGCAGGAGCCTGTATGCGCCCTGCACACCCAGCTGGTGGGCGGGAGAGTCGGGACAGGCTGGATGAGCTGGGGCATTTCTTCATTCTCCTGCCCTATCCCATTCGAGCTCAGCACCCTGGAGCATGGGGTGGGGGAAGGCATGGTGGTCAGAAGCTCCGGAGAATTCCCACCTCTGCCTAGGCCTGATGGAGGCACGGGGCCCCCCAGCTATGTCTGCTCCAGCCTTGGAGCCCCATCCTCTCCCATGGGCCCCTTGAAGTCATATCTGGTTCATACATGTCTCACAACTCTGCCTCCCTCCCTCAGGCCCCCCAGGTACAGCAGAGCTGGCACCAAACAAAACCTAGGGTGGGGGTGAGGGTTGGGGCAGCAAGCGCCTTGAGCAAGAGCAGATCTGAATGGTTGAGAATGTGCGCATGTGCGTGCTCATGTGTGCGTGGTGTGGGAGCTCTTGGTACTGCCCAGAGGGCAGCACAGCCCCAGCAGTCATGGATCTGGTGGAGCCTCAGGTGGGGAGGTGGTGACTGGGGCAGGGCCCTGGGGACAGGGAGGAGAGCACCGCTGACTATCCCCCTCTGTGTTCCTCGGGCTCCCAGAGCCTGAAGAGTGAGCAGCATGTGCTTATTGGTGCTAAAGCTTTGGGAGGATGAAGAGGGTAGAGAAAGGAGAAGCTGGAGGGAGGCAGGCATGGGGATGTGAGGATACACAGTCCTCCCAGAGGGAGCTCGTGGTATCGGTGCAGAAACCCACTAAGAGCCGTGGGTCCAGTGCCGAGCCGCACACTGGCAAGTGTGGTTGGGCTTGACGAGGAAAGGCTTCGTGGAGAGGTGATACAAACAGGGCTTCTCGTTTTGGATTCCAGGTGATCCCGGGGTCCCAGGGCCTCCTGGCATTCCTGGTGGTCCCTCTCGAGGTAAGAACCAAAGGTGACCAAAGTTGTTCTCCCCTTCTTCAAACAAGGCTGATCATGAGGACAATGCTTCATTCATTCACCCATTCACCCATTCATTCATTCATGATTCAGTGTGGGTTAGGTATTTTCTTCGCTTGCTAAGATCTCTGAGCTGCCTTATGGAGGTTACAAGTTAGTGGGGGCAGGAGGGAAGGACCCCTGCATGATAAAGATGACTAGCAATGCCAATGACGAAAGATGGAGACAGAGCAGGCCCTGGGACCTGGGCGTGTTCAGCGATGAGGGCGTCTGTGGGGCAGTGAGCACATGTCCAAAGGCATGGGCTTTGGCCTAGAAAGCTCCCATCTCCGCCCCTGGCAGGCAGTGGCTGCTGCAGGCACTCCTTTCTTCTTTCTGGGGGGACTCTCTTTGCCACTGCCTTCTTTCCCCTACTGCGAAAGGCCGTCCCTCCCCAGACCATGGGAGCAGTGCCTGGGCCCTTTGTGTGACCCTCGGGTGGAGAAACCAGCTCAGGCTTTCTTCCAGGGGAATCATCATCCAGCACCACGTTCCTGTCTGGCCCGCCAGGCCCCCCGGGGCCCCCTGGGCCCCCGGGCTCCATCAGCAGCTCCAGCCTGGAGATTCAGCAGTACATCTCTGAGTATATGCAGAGTGAGTGCCGGGGTCGGAGTCAGGGGCGCGTGTGTGTTGGCGGGCGGCAGTCTGTATGGCCAGGCCCAGCTCTTCCCCACCAGGAGCTGGGGCTGCAGGTCCATGAGCTTCTCCTAGCTGCCCACACACGTCAGCCTCGCCCCAGTAGAGGCTTGCACACCCACATGCTTGTCCGCGTGCACACACAGCTACACTCACTTTCACACAGGCGCACTCCCCCGACCCCAGCCCTGTGCTCACCATGGACATGTGTGGGCACCAGAGCTTTGCCAAACGGGGGTCTGATAGTTTGGTTGATCCACAGCCTGAAGCCCCTCCCGACCTACCCAGGCCTCTGCCTGTTTCTCCATCTGTAACAGTGTCCGGGCTCCCTGCCTCGGGCCTGTGGGAGGTGGGCTCGGCATTTCCTCCAGTGCTTTAGGCCACCTCCACGGGGAGGACATGCCCACTTGGGGACAGGCTTGACTTGATCTCTTTGTTGACAGGTGACAGTGCCAGGTCTTATCTATCTGGAGTTCAGGGTCCTCCGGGCCCACCTGGTCCCCCTGGGCCTGTCACCACCATTGGGGGTGAGACTTTCGACTACTCAGAGCTGGCGAGCCTCGTCGTGAGCTACTTACGGAGTAAGCCTCTCACCCCTGAAATGACCCCTCCCCCCAGGGTCCACTTGTGTTCCTGGAGTCTCGTCTGTTCATTTGCTGTTATTGGCTTTGCCCTTCTTCTGAACGTGACGTTCAAATCTGAATTCACGGTGAGCAGGCCACCAGGAGTTAGCTTCAAAAAGGGTTTGTTCAGGCGAGGCAACACTACACAGCTGTGTGTAGGGGGAACCTTCTCGCAGTTGACGGATGTGTCCTAAGTAAGTGAAAGGGATCCTTCGGGTCGACAGAAACTCTTAGGAGTTAGGCTAAAGCGTAGCCTTCAAAACAAACTGCATGTCTTACCAAATAAACACAAAAACCTTTGTCTTTTCCATGCTTCCTTCTAAATAGCCTCCTAACACCCCCACTGGTTTATCTCCCCCAAATGGAAATAGCCAGTTGACCAGGTCTTTGATTCTGGAGCAATGGGGGTGTTGCTTCAGTACAGATATCTAGGCAACCCCATGTTTCCTTCCCCATAGCTTCGGGGTACAGCATCAGCTCATCTGCCTCCATCTCTTCTGAAGACATCATGGCTGCACTCCGGCGTGAGTTGCCTGTGGAGGGCTCAAGGGTGGGAGCCCCTTTGCTGTCTCCTGACCACCCTTGTCAGGCACATCGTCCCTGTCTGAGCCTTGAGGGATGCAAAGGGGAGACGTTTCTCTGGGACGAGGGGTGCCGAGCCACGAACAAGTCAGCAGCTGACTGGAAAGGGGGCAGCAAATCTCCCCGCCCCCAGTGCCAGGCATCCGGGCAGCTGCCCCTTTAGCTCCGTGGGAGCTTGCTGATTCCCTGTGGGCCTGCGAACCAGGGCTCACCCGTGTCGCTCAGGAGACCTGGCTGTGGCCGCCCCATGGCCTGGGTGGGTCCATGCTAGCACATCTTCTCCTTTCAGGGGAGGATGTGATGCAATATCTACGTCAGTACCTGACGGGCCCTCGGGGTCCCCCGGGGCCGCCAGGAGCCAGTGGAGATTGGTCCCTCCAGTCTTTGGACTACGCAGAGCTGAGCAACCGCGTTCTGAGCTACATGTCGAGTGAGTATCTGTCCTCTGCAGGCAAAGGTGGTCAGGAGGGCCTGGGGGGAGGACGTGGGGGCCAAGCTTCCCTGAAATGGCCCACTGACAATCTCCTGCCAGGCCGCACCAAACCCAGAGGGCGTGAGTGGCATTCAGAGTTATTCAAACCTGTGGCCCCAGAGCAGGTCAGGGAGCCTGGCGAGGGAAGCCAAAAGGAGTGTCTTGGGCACCATCCCGCATGGAGTTGGCACGCAGCTCACTCACATGCACACTTCTTACAGACACACCTCGCTGTACACACACCTCCATACACAAACACTCCCATACACGTAGCAGTTTGAAGGATAGGAGCCCTTTTTGACCTGTACTCTTCCCGGGACCGGGGGACCTCCTCCTTGGTGTCATTACAGGTTGTAGCTCTGCGTTCCTCTTTCTGCTTGTCCCTGCCGGCTGCCCCCTTCTCCCTTCATCAGCCCCACTTCTGTTCACGTTGCGTCTGTCTGGCTCCCTCCCTGACACTGAGTTTCCATCTGTCTTGGCCTCTCTGAATCCATCACAACTTGGGATTTTGTTCCTCAGGTTCTGGAATCAGCATTGGGCTTCCTGGACCGCCGGGCCCCCCTGGCTTGCCGGGAACAACCTATGAGGAGCTCCTCTCCTTACTCCAAGGTAAGGCTGAGCTGGGGACATCTGTCCAAGTGGTTTGGGATGAAAGGCAGAGCCCCTTGGCCCAGGCCATGACTGACTCCTTGCTGTTCCTTGGCATCTCAGGGTCTGAATCCAGAGGCATCGTTGGGCCCCCAGGTCCCCCTGGGCCACCAGGGATCCCAGGCAACGCGTGGTCCAGCATCAGCGTGGAGGACCTCTCATCTTATTTGCACAGTAAGGCGCAGGGCGCAGGCAGGGGTGAGGAGGGCAGAGGCCTGCAGCCCGGCCTGGAGGGCTCCACAGGTTTTAGCGAGGGCAGCTGTTCACCAGCTTGTACAGGGCTGGGCACTGGGGCCCTGCAGAGGGGCACCGGCTCTGAGGTGCTTTCAGCCTGGACAGGGGGGTGGAGTGGGGAGACAGTGCGCCCAGGTGCAGCCCTTAGAGAACTCAGGAGCCAGTGTAAGATCAGTGATCAGGTGCCACGGCAGGCGTTCCACCCAGCGGCAGAAGGGCTATAATTGGAGTTGCAGGAGGCTCAGAACTGGGAGTGGGAAGGCCAGTCGGGAGCAGTCCTTCCAGGGTGGGGCTTTGAGCATGTTGTTCCCCGCCCCCCACCCCAGGTGAGGGTTCCAGCCTCATTCCCGCCTGAGAGGGGCCCACATGGGGCCCTGAGGCCAGATGGGAATTCAGCATTCTTGGCAGGGTGACCCCTGATCTTTCCCTTTCTCTTGCTTCCCTCTCAGCTGCTGGCTTGTCATCCATCCCAGGCCCTCCAGGCCCCCCTGGTCCCCCGGGCCCTCGAGGGCCCCCGGGGGTGTCAGGAGCTCTGTCAACCTATGCAGCTGAGAACAGTGACAGCTTCCGGAGTGAACTGATCAGCTACCTGACAAGTAGGCGCTCCTAACACTGCTGCCCCTCCCACGCCCCCTTCCCAGACCTTGCTTCTCCCTGGAAGGGGAGCAGAAGGTGCTTTAAGGAACCCGGGAGGCCAAACACACATGAGCCACTAGCAGGGAAGCCCAGTTTCTTCCCATCCAGCAGTCCTGCTCGTGGACAACTGCCTTGAAGTTCACGTCCTGCTCAGGGGTGCTGACACCCTGAGAGAGAACCCGTAACTCCCGCTTCTTTCCCTCCAGCCAGACCTGCGCTCCCACTAATGCTCTCCCCCCACAGGTCCTGATGTGCGCAGCTTCATTGTTGGCCCCCCAGGCCCTCCCGGGCCCCAGGGCCCACCTGGGGGCGGCTACCTGGGGTCCATGGACGGCTCCTACAGTCATGGCAGCAGCTCCTCGCACAGCTCGTCCGTGAGCAGGGGCACCTCCCACAGCTCTTCCTTGGGCATAGGAGGAGCCAATGGAGGCTCCCTGGGTGAAGGGGGCTATGGGGCAGCAGCAGAAGGTGGCGTGTATGGTGCTGACAGTGGATTATTCGGGGCTGGCTTTGCTGGAGGTCTGGATTACAACGAGCTGGCTGTCCGGGTATCTGAGAACTTGCAACGTAAGTCGGGACACTTCGGCCTCTGTGATGAGGGTGGAGCTGGGGGGCAGGGGCATGGAAGCATCTCCAATCTAGGCTCCAGAAACACACCCTCTCGTTTCTGGAGCACCCAGGCTGTGAGGCCAGCAATTCTGGAACCCACTGGACAGGGACTGAACACAGGAGGCCCCGATCTAATTCTCGGCCAGCTGAGTTCCCTGTGATGCAGGGAACAGAGCATAGTGGTGTCTTTGTACTTTGCTTCCCCAATACCCTGTGTGGGCTCAGGAGGCTCTCTGACTGTGATGGTTTTCTGCTGGGGCTGTGGGAAGGCTGTTGGCTAAAAAGCCCTTTCTCCCTGTAGCTTATCAGCGCAGTTCTGCAGGCCAAAAGCCTTTGATGAAAGCCTACTGCAGCAGAGATGCCAGTCCACAAGGGAGGACAAGGGAGCTGCAGGGCTTTCCCCTTCTGTCGCTTAGCCTAATCTAATTGTGTTGAGAGTCAGATAATTAGCAGGTGCCCCCTTCCTGGTGTTTTACAGGTCAGGGCCTGCTGCAAGGGATGGCCTACTCTGTCCAGGGCCCACCAGGCCGGCCAGGGCCCCAGGGGCCCCCTGGCATCAGCAGGGTCTTCTCTGCCTACAGCAACGTGACTGAGGACCTCATGGACTTTTTCCGAAGTAAGGGGCTCCCACGATTGCTTTCCCAATGTGTAACCTGCTGCATAGTCTCACATGGGACCTGCTCCACAGAAATCAGTTTCCTGAAAAACCTCATTAATACTTGAGATGCTGAAAATCTGACAAATGCTAAACCTTATTTTCCTCTTACGAGCCCAAACTCGACCATTACCTGTGTTACAAATCACTTCATCTCCTCAGCTTCAGGGTGATAGTGAGTCTGAGGCCAGTTTTTCCCCCCTTGCAGCGTATGGAGCCATTCCAGGACCCCCTGGGCAGAAGGGAGAGGTGGGCATCCCAGGACCCAAAGGTAAGTGATGGCAGGAAACCGCCCTGGGGATCCTGTGTAACAAACACCTCACGCTGAACAGCAGCTCCCTTGCCAGGGCTGGGCTGAGCTCTGGGCTGTTCCTCCCGGCCCCACACTTGTGCTTTACTTATTTAGCATGCTATCTGTCCTCCTAGGTGCGAGGGGCCCTGCTGGGCCACCTGGCTATCCTGGGCCACCCGGCCCTCAAGGGCAGAAGGGAGAAAAAGGTGACAAAGGTAAGCCTCTGCTGCCCATTTCTAGAGGCAGGCAATTTGTTCCAGAGCAAGCCTGGAAAATTAAACCAAATGCCAATAATGTGATTTGCGTAACAAACAGGAGAAAGTGCCAACGCAGGGAGGAAAAAGAGAACCAATCTGGTAATGAAATAGGGTGAACAATTTAATATAAATTGATAGTCTTACAAAAGAGTTCACTTGCAAGCTAGTTTTGCAGTAGTCACAGTTGCCATAATTGCCCAAGCTAAAGCCACCCCCCTCCCCCAACACACATGCACCACAAGATAATTTTTTAACTTCCTGCTCATCTTCTAACTTTCAGGTGACCAAGTCTATGTTGGGCGGAGAAGGAGAAGCATCGGCCTCAAGCCATGAACTCCCCATGGCGTCACAGCCCCGGGCCAGTTCTTGCAATGGCTTATGGTGCTTAGGTCAAAATCTCTCTGAAGGGTGAAAACTGGAGTCTCAAAGTCCTACTGACACAGCATTGCCAAATAGTCAACTGGAGCACTTATTTTAGTCTGAACTATATGTATAAATAATTCAGTCAGACACGAATCTGAAACAGCTTCACTGGATAGACCTGAGTAGTTGCAGTGCTGCAGAATGAGCCTCACTTCCCCACTATCTGATCTGAGCTCCTTGGCCTCTTTAACACAGTGCAAGCCCCAACCTAGGGTGCCAGTTACATAAAAGTTGGCTCAGGACTCCTTGAGCTTTGCCTTAAAAATGAGCCCAGAAAATGGAAGACGGGGATGAGAGGGGGGTGCCTTCCTGGGGGTGACACTTGATAGGGGACACGCTCTAGTTAATGCTGTAAAGCTGTGCTATCGGCTCCTTCCTCCCGTTCACTCTGCATTCTCAAGTCACAGAAAAGAGTTGGCTAAGAAGCAACTCTAGCAACTGAAAACATTACGACATTCACTTCCCCTGAGGGTGGTGACAGGGTTTCTACTGGTTATTTCTCACTGTATCATATTCCCACTTGCTTATAAATTTTGTTTGATTGTAGATGTGATCTGTATCCACAGGTCAACGCTCAAGTTTATAGATATGTTATACTGAACTAGACAGCAGTCAATAGGAAAAGAAGGGCAAGGGGCAAGGAAGGGGAAGAGGGAAAACAGACTAGAACCTGCTGCTGGGGAGAGACGGCACCTCTGTTCTGCACTTGGGGAATGGCACTGGGGGCTGGGCGCAGTAGGTTTCTAAGCATTTTTTCAATGTCTCAAAACATGAATGTGGTCTATTAGATGAAAAGTGACTTCAATTGTAAAAATTTCCAATTAAAGGATTTTTTTCCTTTTTTACTATTATGTGTAATGTGGTCCATCTAACCAAAGTAAATATATATATATAATGTGTGTGTGTTGGGTTAATTGGGTTTAACTCTAACACCATTACAAACACAAAAAAACCAAAACTGGTTGTATTTTGGGACATAGTTTCTAGCATTTGTTTAATCACTGAGATTGTTAAAAGTAGACCTTTATCTGCAATAACTCAATCTGGACAATTACAAAGCATCTGAAGGGTTTCCCTAAGCATAAATTACTTAAAATGAACACACAAGCAACAGATGAGCAACAAGATTATTTTCAATTAATGCAGTGATTTATCCCTGGGGCAAAGGAATTATAATTGCAGGGCAAGTATTATGGAATAGCAGAACACCTATTAAGGAAAAACGCACAAATGGCAAATGTGCCATACAAACGCATAGTAAAATCAGACACGCAAATTCAGAACAGGCTACACTTGGCCAACTTTTGAATTTGTTACAAACTATGACAATTGCTGGATAATTTAAAATGGGGTTAAATGAAATCTGCTTCTATACCTCTACTCTTCTGAAAGAATGGACTGTTTATTTCTCACGTGGTCTCTCCTGAGTATCTCACATGTTATCCTGGGAAAAAAACATACCACTTACCAGTAGTTCTATATCAAATAACTGCTAGCAGTGACCAAGCACCAAACATTCTACATGGTCTGTTTGCCTCCTTTATCATATCTTGAGAGTTACCTGCTCTGAATCAATATTGGAATTCTAAAAATGAGTTCATAAGGCCTTCAGAATTTCAAACAACTTTTTACTGTCTAATAAAAACTTGTGTATAACAAATGACTGCATTGTGCCTTTTTAACATTTTAGTTTTACCTAAAGGCTGAATCCATTTAGTTTTGTAATAATAGCTACAAAGGCTCAAGTATTATATCCCCTTTAATGATTCTTGACTACTGAGATGTATGAGTTTTTCCCTACTTACTAGATTTACCTTCCTAAGCTATCCAAAAATCTTCATAAGAGTTCTATGACCAAGTGAAATAAGGTAAAAATTCCAATCTGCTTACCTTTTCTGGACAGAACCCAGAAAGATGACAGGCAGATATATGTCCTCAGCTGATGGCGACGACTCTGAGCCCTGTTTGTTTCTGTTAAAAAAAAAAAAAAGGAAGGTGGGGGGGGGTTAAGAATGAGCTCAATAGTGAACAATGTTCCTGGATTAGAAGATGACTCCAGCCAAGCTGAACACTTGCCAAATGATGCTGCCCAGTGTCTACTGAAATTTGCATGAACATATCAATGACAAAAAAAGGTTATTTTTAGCAAAAGTGAGGTATATCATATGGTTTGTGAAATGTTTGGTAAGAAAATCCACCCCAAGGGGAAAAAGGAAATAGAAAACATGTATATGTACATATGTTGATGGAAATATTTATTTAAAGCACCTCTAGTAAGTCTGAAAGGGTTAGAAGACCTGGAGGATTGCAAGTGTTAACATCTAACTAGGACCAAAGAGAGCTGCAAAATGTTCTCATGCAGGAAATCCAGTTTCAATGGTTCTGAATAAAAGACTGCTTCTCAAAATAGATTCAGAAATAACTTTATTTTTCATTTGTCAATCCCATGATTGAAAAGACATGTTGCTCCCAAGTAGACAAGAAACAATTCTTTGAAAATTTAGCTTGTGACATTATTACACTGCAAATCAGAGAAGGATCACAAAAAGCTGCAGCCAACATTTAAAACTGGTAACATTCTATCCCAAGCTTAGTAGCAGAAAATTTAAAGCTATATCAAAACTATGTCAGCCACAGAAAAGCAATAATAGAGTCATTAACTATTGTGCCTTCAACTTAAGAAAAGCATTTAAAATATCCCATTTCCTATAAAAGATCATTTCCCAGAAAAGAATTTGTATAATCAGAACACTATTGGAACTGGAACTAACTCTCCGCTTCCACCTCAGTTCTAGGTTTTCCTTTAATCAACAATATCTCTAGCTAATCATTTGATAGAATTTGGCTTTTCAGAAGAGACTTTGTCATTTAAGCAGTGTGGAATACGGAAAAGTGTGTAGTTACAAGGGAACTTAGAAGAGTACAAAAGACAGTCACTTCCGGAACTTGCTGATGCTCAAGAAATCAGAGACCGTCCATTAAAATGAGTCTCATGTGCCTGAGAGCTGTGTGCTTGAGGAAACACTACTTAGAGGTAGCTCTGGTTCTGGTTCATATTTAATTACAATTTGCTATATCCTGTCACAGGAAAGTTCTAATATTTTCATCCAAGTATAAGCACTCAATTTCCTCCTTACCCACCCTATAGCTTCCCCATAGAAAAGGGTAAGAAAAAGCTTAATTGTGACTCCATACAGAATAGCAGCTAATTCAGCAATTCACTGACTACGGACTGACAGGACGAGGAAAGGCAACCTGGTGCAACAGGCTCTACGAGCTAGACCTGCAGAAGTGCGGCGGTCTGGTGTACTCACAGCACGCAGGGAGGAAGGGGAGCGTGAGTGGTGAGGGTGCACATATGGAGAATTTCTTTTATGCATTTCACAGCACCTTCTGCCCCAGCAAGAAAACCAAATCAGGAATGGATCTGACCATATTCTTTGATTTCAAAGAAGTCTGAGTACCTCCCCCACTCCCCTCCTATACTTCATGCAAGAAAGAAAGATCGCTATTATCTATTGGAATATAGGGCCTAACAAGAAGTGAGCAGGGATGGGTACAAATAGCATATTTTATAACAAAACGCTTTTGAAAAGATTTATGTAACTTTTAAGTATGAAAATGAATGTTTCACCTCTACACATGTATCATTTTATGGCCCTGCTCCCACATGAATAGGGTCACATTCTAAAGAGGACTCCCACATAAACACTGAATCCAAATGGCAGTTTTAAGGGAAATGCAAGCGTTGCAAATAAACTTAGCAAAGTGTCAACCATTCTACTCTGAGCCTCTTTCCTTTATTCAATACTCTAAATGTCAAGTTGAAAGGAATACAAAAAATCAAATACTCAGACCAAATTAATTATGTGCTATAAACTATTTAGCACACAGGATATCATTTAAATGATACTAAAAAAATGTCCACTGCCTGAAGTATTAACTTTTTAAAAGCCAATGAACTGAAAATTTCAAAGGAGAAAGTGGTATGAAACCATCCTCCTTTCTCCCTCTTAAAATAAATCATTAAATACACTAACATTATGCTGTCATTTTTATCATAATATAAACAATTTCCATCATTATCCTGAATATTACTTTATAAAGATATATATTTTAAAAGGCTTTCAAAACATTTTTCAACCCAGCATTTGAGAATAAAGCATTAAAGGAGTTCTGTATATAGTAACACATTCATGTGATAAGTATATGAATTTACAACCATACATAATATGTGTGTGTGTGTGTGTGTGTGTGTGTGTGTGTGTGTGTATATATATATATATATATATATATATTTAAAAAACTTGGCCAGAAGTTGAGGCTACCTACAAAGTTGTCCAAGTAAATTATGCTTGTCAAAACAATTACAAAATGAAAATTACACATGCATTTTTAAATCATCTAAACGACTGACAAAATAAGGTTCAGCATTCAAAGTTTTCAAATAAACTGCAAGAAAGTGCTACAGATATTTACATTTTCTTAATATGAATCAGTGTTTCTTCCACAGTTACATTTAAATTTTTCACCAGCCTCAAATGTAATATTAACTACAAACTGAAACTTGTACAATTTGGTACCTAGTCCTCTCAAAAGAGAATAGGTTGCAAAGGGCAGGCAGCGAGCATCACTTACACATGTGTTGTCTCACACACCAGTACAGTTCATAATACTGTTTGACTTGACACGTGCTTGAAATTCTAAGCCTCAAGAGGGACTAAGAGTGAGCATTTCATTACAATTATACATATCAGCAACCACATTATAAAGGTTTCAGGCTTTTCCCACTCAAATCAAAGTAAATAATTTAAACATGGAACAAAATAAAACCAAAATATAAATGACTTTATTTCAAAACAACAAAGTCATTTCCAACATTTGCCTAAATATTTTATTTAAATTCTTTTTCAAAAAGTATTCTGAGGGCCGGCCGAGTGGCTCAGCTGGTTAAGAGCTCGCTCAAGAGTTTGAGCTCTGAGCAACAGCGGTTTGATTCCTGGCCCAAGCTGAGCAGCCGCTGAGCTGCCAACAGGTGGCAGGATGGCTCAGCTAAAAAAAAAAAATACTCTGAACAAATGCCTTTTTTAAGATCAATTTCAGAAAATACATTTATAAATATAACTCAGAGCCAGCAGGCATCTGACAGTTTTCAATGAACAGGATTTGCTAAGATGGGGGAAGTCACTTAATCAGCTCATGTATTGTTTTTAAAAAATGAGCTGGAACAGCTAAATCTGTATTTCTTTTTATTTGGTGAGTTTTACATTTCCAATTTAGACATCTAAGAGCTAACTTTTTTTTCCCATCTTTCCAACTTTGTATGACCTATTAAGTTTTAGGATGAAAATGTCTATCAAATGGTAATAGGAGCAAGATTTAAAAAACAATAATGCTTAATGCAAAGGGTGATTTGTCCCTGTTGAGTCAAAAAATAAAACCCTATTTTAGACTCAATTGAAATTTAGTGTTTTAGGCACTATTGTAATAAAACTAGCACCCTTAATTATTAGTTCATGCCTAAACAGGTAATTATTTTAGACAAATTATTGAAATAATTTTTCTCTTTTAAAAGAATTTCTTGCTATTTAAAGATAAAATAGATTTATTTACTGAATCAGTATCATATTTTGAGCAACTCCTAGCTTTTTCATGAGCTATTTCACCAAAAGAAAATTATTTCAACTCTCTACAGCAGAGTTTCAACAATAGAATTTAGGTGTCATTGAGAAATTAGATCAGGTAAAAAGATATTTACTAATACTCAGTGATGTAACAGGTTTTTAAAAATAACTTTAAACATTATATCTCTAAGAGTTTTTCAGGAACAGTGTGTAAAGCACATAGTTTTTAAGATTAATACACAAAATCACCTTAGGGAATTACTGCAAGATGCTACTTTGCCTACTCGGCCCAGCATCTGTCTTAGTTCCTTTCCCTTCATCTTTGCTAAACAAACAAGACAAACAAACAAAAAAACACCTAGAAGGTGAGGCAGGTGATTGTCTTCGTGCACTTTCTAATATAGGCTGTGGCAGAAGATGAAGAGAACAGAATGACATATTTCAAAAGCCAAACCCAAGCACAGAATGCTTCCTGTTGTTATGATCCAGTGGAATGCAAGCTAGGAATAGGATAGAATTTGGAAATCCGGCTCTGTGTTGATGGGTTAAGGCATTCAGACTCTCCAGTCATTTTAAAGAACACTTCCTGTTCCTGCAATTTCCTGGCAAATTCTTCTTCCAGTGTCTGAAAAAGGGAGGGAAAAAGAAATTATGTGCTGGTATTACAAACAGAATTTACTCTTATAGCTTTAGAGCGCAGGTGCTTTGTAAGTCAGGTGAGGCTTGACGGATGGGTAAGAGCTTGCTAGGCAGACAGACAGATTGGGGTGGGGTGGGGCAATTTAAGTACAGAGAAGAGAGTGAGTGAAGATGTGTGCAAGAATCTTAAGTAGCTCCCCATCATTGGAGCATTAAGGTGAATGTGTGCCTGTGTGTAGGCAATAGAGAGAGAGAAGGAAGGGAGTGATGATAGCTTGGTCCGGAGGGGCTGACTGGAGCCAGAATGCGAGGCCATTGTGTGTTTTGTAAATTGATAATCTAGTAAAATAGGAATGGCTTCCCTTCCCTTTTCTAGCCAGCCACCCATCTTCCTTATTTGCACTTGACTCCCTGCTAGCCTGGTCCAATTAGTCAACCATTTTAATTATGTTTTTGCTATCACTATATTATCCTCTCCCTTGCTAATTCTCAAACTTAAACCTTTATTTTCTCTTGGGCTTCCTGCCTGCTATACATTTCAACTATTCCTTTCTTTCTTCCATTCAGCCAGTCAATTAAAACTATCTTCCCCAAACACTTTCTCTGTACTTATCCTAAGGAAGCTTCCCTGACCTCCCAGGCTGACTTAGGCACCCATCCACCTTTGCGCATACATTGTGCTCCTTTCCTTCTACTTTGTACTTCCCTCCTTCAGAGCAATGATCCTGCTGATCATTGGTTGTCACCATAGGATCACTGCTTGTCCCTAGATTCTGAACATTTGGAGGACAGGGGCTTTGTCTCCTCAATCTGTATCTCCTATCCCTGACACTGAACCTGACACATTTAGGTAAAGAGCCAATAGCTGGGAGGATGGACAGACAGATGGACACAAGCATATTTTAATGAAAGCTTTTAAAATTACCTTTTTCCTAGGTCTCAATTTCTCTCTCCATTCCTTTAATTCCTGGCTGTGTTCCTCATCTAATTCCTTTAGTTTCTGAGTCTCATGCTCAACCAATAGGTGGCATTTTTCATTCTGAAAATAAAGTTTGGATTAAAAAAATTCCAGATCAACAAAGCGATTTTTAACAAACTCAATTATCTTCCAAAATAATAAATTACTCATCAAACACTAAGCTATTACTGTTAAGCTACTCCTCAAAGCCAAGGGCCAAGAATTATGAGATGAGTCATAACTTCATTTTTGCAAGTTTAGAAGCTGGATCTGTTACACATGAAGAGAACTTACATAGAAAGTATTAGTTTGATCCTGTTTTTCCTTTTCTTTGCTCATAAAACTGACACTGCAGGGGGTAGTTTCTATGCATTTTACCTATACTTGGTATCAAAATATGGGATTCAGAACTATTCCTGTAGTAAATTAAGCAAATATGTAGCATATGCACAATGTATACACTACTCTGAAATTTTAAACATTATAGGCTATACACTAGATGGGCTGCATATTCCAGGTAAGGCCCCAAACAGTGCTCTCCCAAGTAACCTTTACATTTCTTCAGTGAAAAATTCTCATATGTTTAGTTTATCACTTTTTTCAAAACCCTAGAAGAAAATGAACTGTTTCTCCCTAGATGAAAAGAAATTTCAAATTCAGAAGCTGATGACAAAACTGTCTACTACATCATTTTGAAAACTTTGTTCATCATCTTTGCAAAATATACTAAAAATATTCAATACTGCATTTGAAAGACTAAATTTTTTAGGTTATAATTTAGTTTCATGTTATATTAATCACCGTTATATTGGGTTGTCGGAAAAGTCATGACGCATTTTTGCAACAAAAAACGTAGAAAAAATATATCATGACATTTCCGACAACCCAATATAAAATCCAAACAAATGCCTAAGATGCTTAAACTGAACTTCACTGGGGTCTAATCAGGAAACCAACCCCAGCACTTTCATGAGGAAAGTGCAGTTTACTTTGGTTAGCTAGTCTCTTCTCAAAACCTGTGCTGCCCAGCCACTGCCACCTTTGTTTCAGGCTCCGGTATCTAACCTGCAGTTGATGCAGCTCTCGGACATTGGCTTCACACTGCAGCTGGAGATCCCGCATTTGGTTTTCATGTTTTTGATGCTGAGCCATTCTCTCATTTTTCTGCCTTTTTTCTTCTTGAGCAGCAAACTATAAATAAGAAAAACAGAATATGATTAACAATGTAATTTTGCACCTTCCAAAGGAGTAATTAAGGAATTTAACAAAACTTAAAGTACAACAAATTGAAACTACAAGTAATAATATGCTGCCACTCAAAGCTGGAGTCCACATCATGGCTTTGGTGGGGAGGGGGAGGCTTCTGATTAAAGCCTTGTTCCTCCTACCTGCTTAGTGACCTCAGTTAGTTTGTGTGTGGGGCCTGTGATTATAGAAGTATAGTGAAGCCGTATGTTTTGACTTAGAAAGCTGTTCAAGTCATCCCATTCCCGGGGCTAGTCTTAGGACCAGTCTAGCCCAGGGTCCGGTGTGGGGCATGGGAGGGAGGGCTCTGCCCTCTGTGTCCACAACCCTAGGAAGAGTAAGCTGGTATATGCTAATATCTAGCCCCAGTCCATAAGGCCAAAGTGAACATCAACAAGCTCAAGGGGGCTCTAAATGTTTACAACACAACTACATGGCACTTCTAAAGGTCATGCAAACTTTTTTAACCTAAAAGAGAAGAAAATAATTTGCTTATTTACTTGTTTAATTTTTTCACGGTCCTGATCTGGTGTGGCCGTTGAGTTAATTCTCAAACTTTTCTTAAACATGGCCATTCGAGTCTTGGCTTCACTGCGCTGAATCTTAGGCAGTCTTGCTCTTTCTTGAGTCTGTCTGTTTTTCAATTCCTCAATAAGTCGTTGATTGTAACGCTGCATTTGTTCTGTTTCCTAAGAAAGTTTTAAACAGAATCCAGTGATGTAAGTATAATTTAATACTCAGTACCCACATGTATGCTCAAATAAGTCATTTTGCTGTTTCCCAAAATTACTCTCTCCCTTGTTGCATACTAACCAGCAAAATATTAGGCAAGAAATAATTTATAAGAAAAACAAAGCCATTAATAAGTCTTCCATCAAAACTCTTTAAGTATAGGGCCGGCCGAGTGGCGCATTGGTTAAGAGTTGGCTTGGGATGCCAGAGGGCCCCGGTTCGGATCCCACATATGAGGGCCAGTGACACTGCCCTCCACAGCTAAGATGCTGAACAACAGCTCAACCTGGAGCTGGGCTGCTATGAGTCGCCGGCGATGGCAGGTGGGTTGCCATGGGCTACCGTGTGTAGCCAGCAGCCAGTATGAGTGGCCAGCAGCTGCTGTGAGCGGCTGTCCAGAAGCCAGCGACTGATCTGCCTCGCCCGGGAAGAGTGCAATGATGGTGCCAACTTGGGCCAGTGAAGCAACGTCCTCCACAACTAGACAGAAGAACCAAAGGATAGCAACTTGTCTGTTCCCCTTCCCCCAATTCCCCAATAAAAATCTTAAAAAAAAAACTAAAAAAAAACCTCTTTAAGTATAGGGAGTCCACGCTTTTAAGATACTTGAACCATAAATGGAGCCACAAAAGCTACCATTGAGAGACAAGATGAAGGTGATCAGAGGCTATTAAGCATTGTAATTAGTTACCTTCCTTGAAATTTGTAGAAAAAAGTTTGCAACCATGATTAACATATTCCAATTAATACTCCAAACTTCATCAAAAGAAATTTTAAGATAAAATAATCTGAAATTCATTCTCTAAGAAATATAAGTTTCAAAAATGAACTCCCCGCTCTCCAAATTTTAAAATGAGTAAAAAAGTGAATAAATTTTCCTTTCATTTACCTTCTCATGACGTTTAAGTAGCTGATGTCTTTGCATGAAATACTGATCTTTAAGTTGCTGTTTGAGTAGCTGGTGTTTTTCTTGTAAGTGTCGTTCTTCAAGCTCCCAAATTGCGGCTTCTCGAGCTAGAAGAAAGCAATTTTCAAAATGTCACTTTGATCTTTTTACTAACGTCCTTTGGTCTTCATTTTAATATTCACGTAAAAGTGTTCTATATATACACTAACTTATAAACACACCGACATTCTGAGCTATAAATGAAATATTACCAATGCAAGAATAATTATCTATTACTACTTTCCATTCTGTTCTAATGTCCTATAAACAGAGAATGCCCCAACCCCAAAACCAAAATTCCATTTAATCTTCGTAATGAGAAATTTAAAAAACCTAAGCTATTTCTTAGGGGAAGTAAGTGCTTAAAACTTCATTCTATCATGTAGCCAATTAAGTATACCAACAATATAAGGTATAATGAGTATACAAAATTATTCAGGTATATTTCTAGCATTATCTGGACAAAAATGTTTTAAGGATTATATGTTTATGTTCACTTCTACTGTCAAAAAGGAATTCTATATCTTGCAGTATTTTTTAATTTTATAAATTTTTTACTTATTTACCTCAACTTTATTTATCTTTCCCTCTACCACTCTAGCAAAGGAAAACATTCAAATCATTTTCAAGGTATATCTCAGCAATATTTCTGAGATAGCTTTACATATACACACATGCTGCATAATTTCGTATACCTCTCATGAGCTGTTGTTTGTTATTCAGGCATTCTCTTTCAATATTGGCTAACTCTGCCTTTTGCTGTTGGATGATCTTTTTCAGAGAGCCATCTAATTCTTGTTGTTGCTTCTGAACAAACTCTTGTTCCTATTAGATATAGTTAACCATCAATTAATAAGTATTTACTGAGCAAAACATCCATTTATCTATATGACTGCATATATTAGTGGTTAACAAGATTTCTAAATCAAGTTTCTAAAGTTAGTGAAATTTAAAAATTACCAAAATTATATAGTGTATGTATATAATATAGTTACCCAATTCAAGTCCAGAAAAGTACATATTATTCTAAACTCACTATTAAGACCAATACGTACAAAATAAGTCTATAATCCACTTATAATTAAAATCCCTGTTACACTGATATCTTTAGGAAAATAATAAAATTACAGCTTCTAAAACTGACTATTCATTCCACTATGGTGTGGATAAAACAAGAATAAACAAGAAATGCCTTTTAGAAAGAAAGGCAATAAAGAACACATACGTAAAACAGATATCAAAATTTAAACTCTCTATTTTTCAAAGAAATGAAAAGGAAGAAATATCATGGCTACAGTAACAGAGAAAGATAGTTTCTGTATCGACAGCCTGTGCCTAAAAAGAACAACAATAGTTTGAGGACTTAATACGAAACAGTACATTGCTAGAGAAATGTGAACTAGGAATAGGAAAATGAGCTATGTTTTATAAATCTATAAACAAAATTCCTTAATAGAGAATTCTACCAACATGTTTGGGATTTACTCATTCATTCAACAAATATTTACTGAGTACATACTATTTGCCTAAATGCCAAATTTATGCTTTAAAAATGTCCTTCGATTAGTGTGTAAGTAAGGAAATGTTCACGTGACTTACGGATTTTATGCTAGCTCATATACTTGTAGAACAAAAGGAACAATAACCAAATTGCGGGAATTGCCAGGAAATGTTCGGATCTCCATCCCTTCCTTGGCAGTTACAGCTGTTTATGATTAGCTCAAGGGATTTTTCTGATCAATTTGAGTGTGAATTTAGAAATTTAGGGTTGAAACACCACTTCACCTATAATCCCTCCTCTTACACATCTGAGAGAAGATAAAACCCCAAGATAAAAAGATAAAAACTCATTTTGAAACTATTTTTCAGGCTGCAGACAATCTGATAGGACCTGGATCACTACCAGCCTGGCCTTCGATGCACACAGAATAAGTCCAGCAGTGTTCCTCAAGATGCTGCCTTACTACCGTTTCTACTATTAAAGTAGCTCGGAGTCCCAGATGCTGCTCTCTCCTCTGCATCATCATTTTTTTTAGCAAATACAAATATACAGTAGCAGAAAGACTAATGAATTGCCTCTATAAAATATAACTGCCAACTTGACTACAGTCACCTATATAACATTACCACAGCAAAAAAAATTAAATAAAACTAAATGAATATTTAAATTCAACTATATAGAATAAGGCCTTTTGAGTTCTATTTAAAGAGATGCAAAATCTCCATGTCTATCTTTTAAGCAGTTACAACAAACAAAGTTGTTCAAGCTTCTTTTCCCTACAGTAAATATCATTTATAATAAAAATTACATTTTCTCTAATTTCATTAATTTCTATATGCAAGCTTGTCAAATAAACTTAATATAACCTTCAGATGTATGAGTTTTCTTTCATTCAACATTTTTACCACTGGTTTGCATAAAAGATTTTTTTTAAATATCTGTGTGGACAGAAACAATGGGTACAAATTAACCACCATAAATATAGATATTACACTGAGACTCAAAGAAATCAAGTACAAAAGTACAAAATGGAGCGAATTAATATTTATGTGAAAATTAAAAAGGTAATTATAGGCCATTGCCACTAAAAAGTGAATGTAATTTCTTGTCAATACAATTTTTGGTCATACTACTATAATATATTTATGTCCAGATTAACAATATAAGAGTTCAGTTAAAAAAAAAACCTTTATTAAACAATTAGTAAATGCTGGGCACTGTACTAGTTATAAGGTTACTAAAATTAATAAAACGCAGTATTGCCTTCAAAGAGCTTCCACTCTATTTGTCCCAAATTGGTATTCCCTTAGTTTTGGACTTTCAAAAGTTCAAAAGTAAACCACAGAAAATGTAAAGTTGGGAATAAAGGGTCCAGAAACTATGCCACACAATGAATGACTGAAAGAACTACAGAAGCATGCCCTGAAGCAGCTAATAATAAATGAGGAGGAATGAAAAGCTGAGACTGTTACGTAGAAGCACGCAAAACTAGCATTGTGCTGCTCCAGAAGGTAAAACAAGGATCAACAGGTTAAGAGTCAAGGTAGGCAATGTCCAGAACTGCTTCCTAACAATCAGGGTTAGCAAAGACACCAGCTGCCTAATAGAGCTATGGACTTGAACAATTAAGCAAAGTGTGGATGATTAAATAGTCAAGATATTGCACAAATAATTTTTTAAATTAAAGCCGAATATACCTGAAAGGTTCCTTACATACTAATTAATATGTTTTATTACCTCAAAATAAATAAGAGTATTATTGAACTTTCATTAACTTTCCTAACTCCAAAAGCCAAGTATAACATATTCACAGGAATTTTTAATTAGAAATTAGGATCTAAAAGAAAAGTGACCTTACATTCCAAAAAGACTGTACAAATTATATTATCCTATAAAAAAATAACAGATGAATCTGATCACTAGGAACAATTTTAAAATGGACACATAAATGGTAAAATGAGTGTCCTTTAAATGTACAAGTTTGAATTTTGATAAGGAATTTCAACATATTAATCAGATAACTACGAACATTAAAAATCCATCTCTGTATTCTAGAAAACTATAAGAAAGGGTTATGATATATTGGGCTATATGTACAGAACTTGATCATTTTAACTCAAAAGAAAAGCTAAAAATGGTAATGATCAGAAAAGTGATCGTAATTCATAATTTCTCCCTCTCATTGAAAGTTAATGTTTTGCTTGCTCTTTTAGAAAACTACAGAGTCCAACAGCTGCCAATAATAAAAAAAAAGTCTAATTTCAGGAGAGGGGAAAAGAGGAGTTGAAATCAAGCTGTATTCTATCTACTCCAGTTGTATATATCAAACATCACAAGCAAAAATTATAGTATTAAAAGAGCTAGTGCCTTCCCTATAGAAACTGTGAGAAAGAATACAGCCTGGAATTCCAGACTTAATTTAAAACTACAGCAAGGAGAAAAGCAGCAACTCACTATTCATTATGGACAATTTGAATAGTGAAAACTAGAGTTAAATGAAACTGAAATCAACACTTTTAATATGGCTTTTCTGACCATATCCATAGTTAAAACATCTACATAAACATATATGCAATCAAAATGTCACTTCACACAAAGATAAAAATCTAATCACAGCATTCAATTTCTCACATGTGCAAAACTCATAAAATACTATTGGGAAGATATTTCTTGAAAAAGATGAAAATCTCAAATTAAAATTTGTGGTGGGGTAGACAGAAAAAGAACACTGTACTACAAGTGTTCTAGTTCCACTTCTACCATTAATCTCTTCTGTGACTTTAGGCAGATCACTTAGACTTCTGCGCCTTGATTTCTTCATCTGTAAAATGAAAATGCTCCATCCCTATATTAGGGTGGTGGCAGTGAGAATCAATGGGAAAACTCTTTGAGGAATACTGTACTATAAAGTTCATGTCAGGTTATTGCTGTTACCGTCATTGCTGACATTATCATCTATCAATCTAAGATTTTAACGAATGAAGCTAACAATGCAAAGGCACATGTGAGCCAAAGAAAAAGCAAGTAAAACAGGAGAAGGCATCCTCCTACAGGCACGTGGGACTTACATCCTGCATTGGGGCGTTGAAGACTGCACAAGATGACAACTGAAAAGACTGAATCATGACCTGAGCAACACCCTGTGGATTAGAATACAATGCACCTCCCAGGTGAGAATATAGCTGAATGACTTTTTTAAATGGAAAGAATGATTATACAAATGTTGACTGTCTTGAGGCCTGGAACAAATCCCTTAACAAAGGGGCCTCCTTCTTATCTGTAAAATGAAAGATTTGAACTAGATCAATGGTTTCTAAACTCTAGTTTGCCGGCATTGTTTTTAAACCAAACGTTCTTTAAAAAACTCACCAAAAATATATATAAAATGTATAAAACAGATAAAAAGTGGTGCTGCTTGAGTTGAGGAGGAAGCAGGGCCCAAAGCCCCACCATCCTTGCTTTCTGAAGGATTCGCAAGGTGCTTCTTCCAAACTCAAGAGCTCCTGGAAGCACAGTTTGAAAGCCACTTGACTAGATGACCAAATACATTCTACTCCACAACTATATGGCTATTATTTATAAATTCTCAAAAAAAGTTTAAAATAGATCCTGTAAAGTTACCAAGTTTTAGCACCTTCATTAAAAGCAGTAGCTAAAGACAAGTACTTTTGTACTCGCTTCAGAGGCACATATACTAAAAAGAAGAACATAATTTTGAAATTTGTTAGACTACTAAATTCTTCACTAATTTTACAGAAAGAAATTTACTATTGCTTTCAGTGTTAGTTAAAAATATAGGCTAGCCCTCACATCTGTATGAAAAATCACCAACATAGTTTTATTAAAGCATAGGATCACCTAAGTGATTCAACACTAAATTCTCAATTTTGACTCGGGAGTCTGATTATATTACCTTTTGGGATTTAAAAAGTCTGTATTCCTTTACAAGGCAAAACCATTATTATTATCTGGCTTAAAATCCAAATTATCCAAAAATAAATGTGCGACCAGCAAGGACTTCTTTTTCACCTAGTAACAAGACATGGCCAACAAGCAATTGGGCTAAGCCGATAAAAGTTTAGATTTGGCACAGAAAGGGTAGCTTGAATATGGGAGCCAGCATGGTATGGAGGTTCAGTGTATGAAATGTGGAGCCAAACTTGCCTGGCCAAGAATTCTGGCTCTACCACTAATCAGATGTGTGACCTTGGGAGAGTCACTCAACCTTCCTGTACTTTGTTTAGCTCCCTCATCTGTAGAATGAAGGTAATAACTATCTCATGTTATGAGGTTAAATGAGTTTATACAGGTAAAGCATTTAGAACAGTGCCTGACACATAGTAAATGCTGTGTTTGCTACTTAGTAATTGCCACACCAGTGAAGACAAAATTTTTCACTGGTTCACAGCAAAAATTAAATTTATATACGCTAATTTTACAAAATTTTGAATTCTGAGATATTTTCCTTATTTTTCATAGTGTTAAAACAGTCTCTCCTTTGAAATGATGGTGACAAGTAAATGGCAGTTTTAAAATACCCTTACTTGGCAAAAAAAAAAAAAAATTTTAATGACAATCCATTTGTCATGGTCCCCAGTGGTTTTTGTTGTTTGTTTCTTTTCATGGGTCTGTAAAATTCAAAAATCTGGGAACCACTTTTTAAATCACATAAAACCACATTAAAAAGACAATTTAAAGCAATAGTTAATATATAATCCATGTCTCTTCCTCCTTTCCTTGACATATGTAACTACAAACTGAGCTCACTTCTCTTTGCCTCCAGGCTGAGTGCAAACTACGTTAAAAGAAAAATGATTCCGGGCCGGCCGAGGGGTGCAATGGTTAAGAGCTGGCTTGGGACACCAGAGGGCCCCGGTTCGGATCCCACATATGAGGGCCAGTGACACTGCCCTCCACAGCTAAGATGCTGAACAACAGCTCAACCTGGAGCTGGGCTGCCCTGAGTCGCCGGCGACGGCGTAGGCTGCAGCCCATGTGGCAGTGGGTTGCCATGGGCTACCGTGTGTAGCCAGCAGCCAGCGTGAGCGGCCAGCAGCCGCAGTGAGCGGCCGTCCAGAAGCCGGCGACTGATGTGCCTCGCCCGGGAAGAGCGCAATGATGGTGCCAACTTGGGCCAGTGAAGCAACGTCCTCCACAACTAGACTGAAGAACAAAACGACAGCAACTTGTCTGTTCCCCTTCCCCTAATTCCCCAGCACTGTTCCCATCCCCACAATTCCCCAATTAAAAAAAAAAAAAGAAAGAAAAAGAAAAATGATTCCTTGTATAAAAGACCTTGTAGTCATGTGAAATAATTCTAAAAGAATATGTTAAAAATACTAACTTATCCAGTTTTATAAAGAATTCATCCATCTTAATTGGCTCAGCCTTATCAAAGCCTAGAAACAAGTTTATATAGGTAAAAATCATCTATTTTTTAAACTGCTAGATTCTGAATCAAAAAGAAAATATACTTAATATTTAAAATCTGGTTTTAAGTAGCTTATGTTGTTGAGCTTCACAGTAAGAAATGTTTACTCTATCATTTAACATTACCATTTACCATTTATTTTTCTTTTAACTTTATATAAATAACTGCTTTTTAATAGGCATTCTTACCCTCTATATTTTTCTGTCCTGAGAGTCTTTTATCAAACATTGACATTACTACTTAAAAATATAAGCTTCCATCATGACTAAAATAAGAATACAGTGGATTATACATTAACATACTTGTTTATTTCATCTGGAGTCAGCTTTCCAAACATTCCACTTAATTTCTTATTAGCAACTTAAATGTCACCATTAGTGTGAATTTAGTACTACATGAAGAATGCCCTGGGAATCTTTGTATGAGGAGAAGTCAACATTATGTAATAAATACAGTCAGAATTTACCATTTCAACCATGGTTTATTGAGCTGTGAGAATAATGCTGCTTTCCGTTTTTAGTAGCATTAAGCTGCTGCTGTTACCTGAGCATGCTGGCTTTGTGCAAGCTCCTCTTTCCTGCGTTTCATGAGCTCTTTTCTCAGCTCTTTGGGTGCTTTCTCCACTTCATTTATAACCTACAGTGTATAAGCATGCAGGAGGTGGGGGAATAATACTTTCTCCACAGCAAGCATTTATGTGAGCAGACAAGCTACAAGTCAAATATTAAAGCCGTTAAAAAGTTTAACATGCATTAGCACAGGTGTTAGTTTGGTGAAAAAGAATGAAAGGACAGAACATGCTTAATCTCAGTGCAGAAAGGAACATTACACCATGTAGAGGTTAATTAGTTGCTTCATTATCTCTATATATCCTTCTCTTGTAAAGATCCAGAGACAATCAGTAAAGGATTACTTGGAGCACTGATGCTGAACTAAAGGTGATAAACTCAACTGACCTTGAAAGATCATAAAATTATAAGCATATCTACTGACAATGTTTTAAACACTGGACATAAGGAAAGCTAATGTCATTTATAAAAGTGAAAACTTTCATAATTGGCTTGATAAAAACCAAAGAAATAATTTTAAATAAAATCCAGTTAATGAAGAGACCAAAAGAAAAACAAATGGGAAAGTAAGCCTTAGAATACACAAAAGAAAAATATATGGACACTACATTTTCTTTTTTCATAAAACACACCATTTTATACATGGTATGATAAAAATGAACATATCTCATGATCTTCTGTTGAATTAAAGTAACATTCTCCTTTGCTGACAATTTAAGCCAAGTTCAATTGTCAACTATAATATCAATAAGCACTCATAAAGTAACAGTTTACTATGTATAATTTATTATACCAGATAAGTATATTATAAAATGAAGTGTATTTTAGGAAGCCTTCTTTTAATTATTTCAAAATATTAGATATGCATTCCACCTAAAAACAGACCTACAATCCAACTATGAAAAATAATCATGTGTATACAAGTAGAAGCACCAAAAGCAACCAGATTCCAAATCACCACATGCTATTGATGGTCCATGAAAGAGACTGATTTTGACTTAACACAGCATATTTAAAATTTCCCATCAGTGATTCCTCGTGAAACCAAATCACCATTAAAAGGAAGAGACTCCCCAAATCCAAGAAGTTTAGTGATAAGGAAAAAAATACATAATATAATTATTTAAAATATGCACATCATGATCTCAAACATGTTCACTGGCTAAAACTCTCCTATCCAAAACAGTAACAATAACTAGAGACTTTTATATATTTAAGATTAAATCATGTTTACCTGAACAATTTACTTTATTTACTCTGATATTAATAACCTCTCAATGAAAACTGTCCATGGTTTCAAGAAAATTAACAAATAGGTTCAGTAAGTCATACATCATGATACAGAACTCTATATAAAATATAATAAAGAGTGACAGGAGTAATTTTTAGAAATGGTAGCCACATTAAACAAAACTATATGGCATTTCATTCATCTCTACATAGAGAAATTACAGAACACACTACGTGCATTAATGTTTGGTTCTATCTTTTTAAAGTAGGTTCTCAAAGTCAGCAATATGACGTTCAATGTTCTACATAATTTAAATATTCAAGTCAACGAATCTCGGTATTTGAGACATGTAACAAAAGTGAAAACACATTCACTAGTTTGGTTGAGATGCTTTGGTTCCAATCTAATAAAAATGGTCATAATTATTGCCCCTGGGGTCGTTTATAATCATGAAAAGGCAAATTCTCCTCCTACACTAAAGGTATAGAATAAATCATAAAATTATGTCTGAAAACTGCTAATTTGTAAAGCTTTCTTAGTTTTATTTAATTTGGGGAGAAAAAGACACACTAATACAATATGGAATACGTAAATCTTCTTTCTCAATCAATGACAAGCTTTCATACAACAATATGGAACAGTTTTAGGAAAAATGAAAAAATTCTACTCAAATGACCTTACAGATATTTTCCATCTGTGATTCTATAAAGTCTCTCGCAGTCTGATGAACATTATAGATTATCATTTCTACTTTCAGGTTACTCCACTTTTGTTTTGGCACAATGTCCAAGAAAGGTAATCAAGCTAATCAAAAAAATAATTTTAAGTATGAATTAAATATTACAAATAAATAATAAGGTGAATTATTACTGCCACCTGCAAACAATATAGTAAATTCTCTTGAAAAAATATTTCTGTAATAGCCTTAAATGTTGCAGTAATAAAAGAAAAATGATAGATTAGAAGGAAAATGAGGACTTGGTTCAATGTTTAACTGGACATTTAATGGTAAATTGTGAACTTGAACAGAGAATTTAAACCTCTTCTCTATTTTTCTTGGCACAAAATGGGATAACACCTCACCTTACCACTACCCCAGATGGCTGCTGGGAAGACCAAAAAAAAAAAAAAAGAATGAGTGCTATTTAACTATCAGGTATTATTCCTAATAATTCTTTAGACAGTCTTATATGTGCATTAAAAAATTGCTTTAGTAATTAAAAACAGTAGTTACACTTACCTCCTTCTTTCGGTTCTTCAACATATTCTGAAATTTGGACAACTCTTTCTCTTGTTCTCCTTTAATACGTTTGGCTTCATCTCGCAAGCGATTTGTGTGTTCTTGTTCTAGACGTTCAATAGTCTGTTTCTGCTGCTTTTCTAGATTCTCAATTTCTTGGTCATATTGTCGCTTTTTGCTCTGTAAAACAATGTAGCTCAAGATCATTTAACTTTTCTATCACTCACATTAACTCATTACAATGAAGATTTTACTAAGAGAACATAACAACCATTTTAATTTAGTGATGTGACGTATATAACCTCGTAATACTGAGCAAGTCAAGTGCACTAAAATATGAAATTTTTCTAAGAAATAAGTATTTCATTTCTTCTAATATGGAAAATAAATAGTTGCCCTTAAATAACACAGGTTTGAATTGCACACGTCCACTCATATATGGATTTTTTTCAATAAATATAGTGTTGGCCCCCCATACCCTCGGGTTTCTCATCCGCAGATTCAACCAACTACAGATTGAAAACAGTATTTTCGACCAATGGTTGGGAATCTGCAGATGCAGAGGGCCTACTGTATGCATTGTTCTACACCATTTTAAATAAGGGACTTGAACATCTGCAGATTGGTATCTGTGGGGGGTTCTGGACACAATCCCCCACGGACACCAAGGGACAACTGCAGTTAAGTTTTGGGGGAATTAAAAATCATACATGGATTTTGGACTGTTCATAGCCCCTAATGCCTGCATTGTTCAAGAGTCAACTGTACTTTTTCAATTATACAAATAGTAGAATGTTTGAAATTTTTAGACAATCCAGAAGAATATCCAGTTACTATGAAGTACAAAAGAAAAATTTCAATATTTACCCAGTAAAAATTTGACAAATCAAAGGTCTTATCTGAAGTCTATTTTAATATTGTGCCATTGTCATTTTCAGATTTACTCTTCTTCATTAAGAATCTTAAAATAAACATTCTATTGGGCCGGCCG